GGTCAAAAAGAGAAAGAAGTCCTTAAAACTCATCAGCCTGATTTCATCCAATGCTGGACATAGACCTCCCCAATTACACGCCACTGAGTACGACGTTCAGCTCTTCTCATCCAAATCACCTCCACCACTAGCCACCAGCCACCCTGCGGCTATCTTCCGTAAAATTCAGTGGCAATTATTATTATTTAAATAAGTTTGTGGTGTCAAAATATTTCGAGATCTCGTGGTAGTGGTATTAAACTACTAGCAATAGCATTTCGTTTATTAAAAGCGTTTAGGTATAATTTTTGGTGAGTTTTAATCAGAGGTGGCATGTTCCTCATTTAGTCAGTGGAAAAACACGGGTGGTATGATAGTACTACTATCTAATATTATTTTAATTATGAGACAAAAACATTTTTAATCTTATACCTAATGCCAATTTAAATATTTTTTGATTTCTAATCGAATTAAAAAGGTCAAAAAACAAGCAAAGTTTAATTAGTTTATCGAAATGGGGTTGTTTTTTGAAAACGATAATAAGATAATAAATGCTATCGTCGTAAGTAGGTACTTCACTTACTTTTTTTAATAAGGTGGAATTACAAAAGTTATCAATGCTCTGAGTTAAATATTCAGATATTCTTCTGTTACACACTTGTAAAGTAAGTGAAAGAAATAGATGTTTATTCCTTTCACTCACACCGGGTTTCCGAAAGGCCGATCAATGTTAAAATCAATTTAATCTCTTGTCAAGTCATCTGATTGGTTGACTGAATTATGAACAACCAATCAGATGACTTGACAAGAGATTTAACAGGAGATTAGCAAATTTTAGCGTTGACAAGCCTTTCAGAAACCGGGTGTCAGATTAGCAGTGGACACTGGACATAGGTATAAGGTTCCTTAGCAAGTCTATGTGTGTCTTATCATAGAAATCGTAACTACTAGTATTTATATGAAAAGTGTCATAGATTATTAAACATGTGATTGATTATTCTGTAGTGACAATAAATCTAGATTACTTATGTTATTGATAACATACTCTTCTATCATTCTAGGCTAGATTCTTTTGTTTATCTCAACTCCTAAGCATTTTATCGGATTAGATAGTTTGGTCATAAATATCGTTTAACGTGATCTATTTTCTTAAAAGGGGGCCTATACTTACATTCTAATATATGTAACAGGTATAACATATTAGATAGTTACGACATATATACATATACATCACTGAGAAGATTAGAAAGTAAAATTGTCTTTAGCCTAAGGAAAATGTGGTCCTTTTACCCAATTTGCTAAAGGACCACGAAATACTTTTTGTCTTTCAACCAGTAGTTATTTTTTGCACGTTCTGTAAGTATTGTAGACAGATATCGCTTGATGGAGTAAGTATGTTATCGTTTTAGTATTTGTTCCATTGTGTTTATGGCATAAATATGTATTATCTACAATTTATATCCACGATTTATCGCCTGAAGATTTTCCACTTGCGAACCACTCTACCGTGTTTCTGCTGTTACTATACCATTTCTTATCACATTTTTTAAAATTTCTTCTATATCAAAACCAAATTTATCCGGTTTGAAGATAGGTGTTAAAAAAATCTTTGTTATGAATATTTGTTTTAAAAATGATAATTTTGTTTAATTTTCATTTTTGATTCGCTTATCAGAGCTATTTTCAAAATAAGATTTATTATTATTACTGTTTGTAACCTAAGTTATATTATGAAACAGTGTAATGTATTTCACATTTAATTTTTTTGAAATGTTTATTTTTCACTTAAGGCATAAAATAATTAAATATTGAAATAACGAACAAAATATGTGGTATACTTTTTTGTACTCCCTAAAAAACTTATTTCAAAATCTTATGTAAAAGTCTTTAAAAGCATTCAAGGGTTGCTTTATATTTATTTAGCAGTATAACTATAACCAAAAGTTATTTTGTATGCCTTTGACTCGTATAACTTTGAAAGTTCGTTGACATTCAAGGTTTTAAAGACACAAACTTGTAGGGACGTATGAATTGCACAAGAAGTTACTGAGTAAATAATTTAAGTCATTTACTTTACACTCATCATTACAATCACCCATTTTGTTGAATTTGGATCAAAGGACCAATTTTGGTCCTTCTATACGCAATAAAATCACGTTGCATAACTTCAAGCGTGGTGAAATATCATAAACTCGTTTTCTCGAAGGACCAAACATTGTCGAATGAAATTGAGTCATCCACGGCCACATGGTCGGTACGGTCAAAAGTATTTATTTATACTTCGGACAGCCATTCAATTGTTAGTACTTCACCTTGTTTTTCTTGCCTTTCGTTATATCACCCGGACACGTTCGTAAAGTACAAGACCCTTATCATATTATCATTTGCAAATTAAAGGTATTTTGTTTCAATTTCCTAAGTACTTGCTTTAATTACTGTTATCGTATAAAACAAGAATGTGTGATTGGCTAAGTGTTTGATCAATCGCCTGCTATGGTAACTACTGACTGCCTTCGGGTAATGATTCGGTATAAGGAAATCGGTAAAAAAATCATTATAACCCTGTGTTAATTAATCCTTCACTAAAGTTAGCACATTTATTATAATTTTGGCAGCTTCACCTAATATTTTTTAATTATGTACAAAAACACCAAGTACTATCAGTCTATTTCCTGAAAGATCAATGAAATATTTCGATGATACCAAGAATAATATATACGGAGGTACTCCCAGAAATCAGTAGGCAGTACTCTTTGCCTTCGCTGTAGTTCAGTCGCAAACAATCCCATGTAGGTACCAAAGTACGAAATCGATTCATCGTCTACAAAAGGTATGTCAAAGTACCCTATTAAGGATTCCTTCATGGATGAAATGTTCTCATTTATATTCTCATGTCGTTGGCTACACCTGAGTGCCAAGCGCGAGTTTGGTTTACATTAACGCGATCGAAACATTACTGCGTATAGCCCACTGATTGGTTGGTTCATTGGAAACAGGCCAATCGAAGCGCCGAACGTAATAAACGTGTCCATCGTGCTGACGTACAGCACTAAACTCTCTTCAGTGTAAAACTGTCGGCCCCCAAGGTATCTAGGAGGAGGAGGATATACGTAGTTACTGTGTAGGACAGTCAGGACATGAGAGGGGAAGGGTCGAGCAATAAATTTTAAACTAACATGATGTGATAATATGTTGCCATACCAGAGCAAATTCTTCCCAGTAAATTCAACTTTAAAAACTTCTGTAGTGTAATGCTTTTCCCTAGAGATCTTAACAGTCGACCAAGCGGCTAATGAATCTACCATGCCACTTTTCGTTGTAATGCTATAACTCAACAATGCCTTTACCGATTTAGCAAATTTTGGTCTTGAATTATCGCTGGAAGTCCAGAGAAGGTTTGTACGTAGAGAAAACTGTAAAATCGACGCGGGCGGAGTCGTGTGCGATAGCTAGTTTAACATAAACTAAACAATGTTAATTGCTCTCATAAATGCCTTTCATATACTACACGTGGTCCTTACAGCATATTAATATGTCTACGAACATTTTAATTAACTATAACAGTTTTATTATGTCTATTCAGTCTTGTATAGACATTTAATAAAAACAAATAACTTGCCTTGCCATATAAGAAATGCGTCATAACTTAACCCAGCACTGAAAATATGCAAAACAAATGTATAGGACCTCGTCTCCGAGGTCGGATTCAGAATTCCGTCGCGTCTATTTTGTATCTATCTGTATAAAGTTTTTTAGTAACATACAAATACGTTTTTTGTACCTTAAAAAGATGGACACGTATTTTACATCCTTCAGTTCGCTAATGATGTCTTGGTCTTTTGTGTTCATTACAGTTTAAACTTGTTAGTTTGGATACGGAGTCAAGATAGTAAAAAACCGTATCCATCTACGTTTTAGACAGAAACTCCATGCATTCTAATTAATTAATCTCAAGATGAAACAAAATGATCTTAATTTGGGTTGTAAATCCGTAATCAATTATGAAAGGGATTAAAGTGGAACACACATGATCGTTAACTACGTTGTTAAACGCTTAATACCGATGACATTTATGCCCGTCTTTGCTTGCCGACGACTCGTTCGATGCCTCGTTGTTTTTGATGTAAATTTATTTTTATAATTTTCACAATCTTTTGCTTATTATCAAGTACCTAGACTATTTTGAACCAGAAATGAATAAAATAATTGCACATACATGTACTTACGTCGACTTGAGTGACGGAAGTATTTAATAATTATTATTATCTTTAAGGACAAACTTGGCTAACAAAATCAGTACCTATATAATTTGCAAAGGTCAAGTGCAATTCTAACAGGTTGCATGCAACTGGTGTTTTGTATATTACCTTAACTAGTTTATGCAGGGTAGATTTTTACACAAATATCTTGCCTATTTTCGGTATATACCTACGTACGAATAATAAAGTAATTTTGTAAGCACAATGATATTGACGACAACTTTATAAATCGTTAAAAAAACATGTTATATTTTACTATTCACAGTTATCAATTTAATATAATAAAGGCCTGATAAGTCATACACTCTATCCATTGTTACTTATTATCCAGAATTGCACCGATAATGCAATCTTATTAAAGAAACAGCTAGCAATAACTGGAAAGTTTCAAAATGAAAATCCAATTCAACCGAACGGTAATTTCAATTGCATTTGCTTGATAGGTATATTATTTCTTACGGAGGTGCCTAGGGATATTATTTTTACTGCTGATTCACGCTTCTGTCATTAAATGTTCAAAGTAAATACCTACTTAGGTACAGTATTGATGTGAAAAACTAAATTTTACCTCTGTAATAGTACCTACGAAGGTGCGGTAATGATTTATTTGATCAAGTTTAACGTATAAACGTTGTATTTTGCACAGGTGCGGATATATCAAATGTCTATACTGTGTTTACGTTATCTTTTTTTACCGTGCTATTATCAGTGTGAAAAAACAAGTACAACGTGTTCACAGTTACATAACATTGTTTGTTCCAGTTACCTCGTGTCCGGCGACGCGGACGGAAAGTGCTACATTTGGGACTGGAAGACAACGAAACTGTACAAGAAATGGAAGGCGCACGACGGCGTGTGTATCACATCGCTATGGCACCCACACGAGCCCAGCAAGCTGCTCACGGCAGGCTGGGACGGCGTCATCAAATACTGGGATTAAATAAAATGACTGACTTCCTTGATACCACGTTTTAATTTCAACCTAACATGAACCATGAACCGCAATAGAATAACAATAAAATAGAAACATACATTTTTTATAGCTTAAATATTTTTTTCTTTACATATTTTTAAATTATAACAAGCGCCAATGTCATGGTTTTAGCGGGGTCATGTCAAGGTCAACCTACGCGACTTGCGTGTACTTGAAGCTTGGCTCCTCGTACGCAATGTCAACCTTGTACTCCATGCTGCACTCGCGGCATGTTCCATTCTTCATAAACTCGTTGAAACTTATATTGTTCTCATGGAATGCTTCGGTTAGGGCAGTGACCAGGCTATCGATCATCTCGGGCGTGTGGTAAGGGCCAGGCGCGAACCTCAGCCGCTCCTCCCCTCGCGCCACCGTGGGGTAGTTGATGGCCTGCACGTAGTGACCTCTCTTCATCAAAGATTCGGCGACGGCGGCCACTTTATCGGCGCCCGTTATTGGGACAGGTACAATGTGACTGACTGACGGCATTTGTGGCAGACCTGCCACAAGGAGCGACAGTTTCAAGTATCGCACAATAGCTTGGTGCTTCGCTCGCAAGCTTCTGCCCTCTTCGCTTGCGAGAAGTCTAATGGCGGCTAGCGAACCCGCCAGTACAGGCGGTGGTAGCGCCGTGGTGAATATGAAGCCAGGGGCTAGGGATCTCACTGTGTCTACCAATAGAGAAGACCCAGCAATGTAGCCCCCAACATTACCAAATGCTTTCCCCAATGTTCCCGATACTATGTCTATCTTGTGCTGTAGTCCTCTTTCTTCCCCTATACCAGCACCATGTTTCCCATACAACCCTACAGCATGGACTTCATCAACAAATGTCAGAGCCCCATACTCGTGAGCTATGTTACACATTTCATCCAGCGGACATATTGCTCCACTCATTGAGTGGACAGTCTCAAACACGACTAGCTTGGGTACACCTTCTGGTGATTGAGAGAGTAACTCTCTCAAGTGGTTTGGATCATTGTGTCTAAATATTTGCTTTGGTGCTCGACTGTTTCTTATTCCCTGTATCATAGAGGCATGGTTCCCAGCATCAGAAAATATTAGGCAGCCCGGTAAAATTTTTGCCAATGTGGACAATGTTGCATCGTTAGCGACAAAACATGAACTAAATATTAAGGCTGCAGGTTTCTTGTGCAGGTGAGCTATTTCAGCTTCGAGTTTTTCTGTCATCTGAGAGTTTCCGGCAATGTTCCTGGTGCCTCCAGCTCCAGTACCATAAGCTTTAATTGCATTAATAGCAGCATCTTGAACAACAGGATGGCGAGAGGCTCCAAGGTAATCGTTGGCGCACCAAACGGTAACACGATGGTTGTCGGGGCCTTCCAGAGCTTGCGGGTATACTCCCTCTGCTGCTAACCGGGAGACCTTCCTGAAGATGCGGTATGAGTAGTCCCTCTTTTTGGCACTGATCTGCTCATGGAAGAACTTCTCGTAGTGGTACGACTGCACGGGCTCAGTGATATCTTCCGTCATCTCCTTGGGTGCCTCGGAGATTCCCACATTTTGCTGGATGAAGGGGCACTTGGTTTCGTCGACGCCGAGAGAGCGGAATCCTCGAGTAATTATGGGGCAGTAGTTTCCGTATTGTTTCATAAGAGTTGCCCCGTAATTCTTTACGAAGGCTTGGTTCAACGATCCTAAGAATGGGCAGCGCATTTTTACTTTTTTATGTAATCAATGACACACCAAACACTTGCGACACTTTAGTATTGTAATATTTATAATACGAGATTTGTGTATGAACGTTGGCTCGCACTGTAGCCGAACGTCTCACAGTTTTCAGTCAACTGGTGGCACGACCAACAAAACCTTTCATTTATAAAGTTGGTGTCGTCATATCGATTACGTTTGATTAGACTTCATTCACTCACTGAGAATTTTATTATGATTTCGTAAGAAAAGTGTTGCCACAATTTCAGTTTGACAGTTCGTTTAATTGCCATTGCAATAAATACATTTTCTTCTAAAATGATTGAAAATAATATTTAATTCTTAATTATTTTAAAGAAAAAGTATCTCATTTATGCTATCTACTATTTTATTATATAAAAATTACTTTTTTCTGGAATAGGAGACAAACGAGCAGAGGGATCGCCTGATTGTAAGTGTGCACAGAATTATTTTTTCGAGAATTAATGCTATTATTATCCATTTATTATTGTATTAAAAGTGTTATTATTATATTATTATAATTCGATAATATTTTTTTTTGTCTTGCTGAAATAATTTTAAAACCAAATGTAAGAAATCAGCTGATAGTTCACAACATGAATTCTCTAATCTGAACTGACAATTGACATATTGACAACTGTCTGACATATGTGGAATCGTCGTCTTAATGTCAACCTTCTAAATTTTATCAACACCGCAAACTTCTGTGAATTAAAAAGGAAAAAAATGTTTTCTTTGCAAAATCAGTTGGAGCTACGGAAAGTTACAATATCTAGTTTGATAACATGCATTTATTTACCGAGTATAATCACAGTAATATCATATAAAGGGATCCTATATTCAGTGGGCAATGGTTCATCGTGTTTCGTTTTAGCTTTAATTTTCGTCGCTGAATTGTTGAAGTCATTTTACCTGAACTCAAGCAGTGATATACAAGCGAAAAAGAATAAAGCTAATAAGAATATTGCGGGGGATATCTTAAGAGGCTTTGTGTTCCTATTATGTGTGAAGTTTACTTTCTTCGTCGGCATAATACTGTTTGGAGCACCTGTACTGGACTGTCACGAGGAGACGTTGATGCTGTCGTTATTACTTACGTTACTAACTGTGTTTCCTCTGCTGCTGCACACTGGGGTCGAGTCTTCCTTGCAGTTGTTGTTTGGAATCAGAAACTATGGGAAGAATACTGTCATTGAGATGTTAGTCAACAATGCATTGTTGACGGTTTGCGGAGCGTGGGTAGGGGCTGTGGTCATTCCCCTAGACTGGAACACACCTTGGCAGAAGTGGCCCATACCTTGCTACCTCGGTGCCATAGGAGGATTTGTCCTATCAAATGTATTAACAGTATTAAAAGTAACACTTATGAGTTCAGCACAGAAATATCCCATATTAAATATCTTTGTACAAATATTGAACGGGTTTCAAGTAGCAAAGTAATAGTAATTTAACTGTTATATTTATTTCCATATATTGACTAAATATATTATTGAAATTCAATTAAAGTATTATTGTTTTAAAATATTGTTTTATTTTATCTTTTAAATTAGTTATTTGAATCCACTTTCTTTATCCTTATTAATTTGAGTAGAGAGTTGGAGAGCCATGCTTCGGCACAAATTTTGCTTAACCAGTGGTGCCACAGCCCTAGAGTAAAATGGTGTGAAACAACCACAAAATTGTGTTTAACTGTGTGAGTGAGGTTTTAGAGCCTCAATCCTTTCCTTCCCCCTGTCCCTCCACAATCCTTAAATTCTCCAAAATCGCCAATTGATTGCTTACCATCACGTAAAAGGAGTGCAGGATTGCTGCCATTTCTCAAAAACACATTCGTCTAAATGAATTACTGAATCCTACAGTTGAGTTAGCTCCATTTATTGATTTTAAGATAATTTTCACATATTTCATAATTAAATTTCGGATAATTAAAAAAATGCGTATTTAGAGGAATAGCTGAAATAAAATGTCTACCCAAGACATGCTCTATCAGGCTGCAGCATTGCTAACTACCAGATCAGACAAGAAAGAGTAGCTGTCTGTGACTAAAATTCAAGCTATATTATTTTTTTTATTTCAAAATTTTTATTACCTATTATAAACCCTATAAGTATTTGAAGCTATTCTAGGACATAACTTATTTTTTATCACTGCCCGACAGCATAATTTTCTACTGTACCGTGTATAGTTTACTGAATCTCCTGCATCGTGTATCCCAGACCCAGAACAACAATTTGTGGATCACACAGAGTTGTTCCGTGCGGAAATCACGTCAAGTGGCGCGGCAACCAGTTGCCCAGCCACCACGTCAGCCGTGGAGTCGGATTTAATGAAACTACAATATCGAACCCGTTTTAACTCTATAACACTTGTCAATGCCTACAAGTTTTACATAATTTAAAGCAAGCTTAGGATCAGGTTAGCTAGTAAGTAATCATCTATTGTCTAGCTCTGTCTATTGTTATGGTTCTTATGGTTGGAAAAATCATCCAAAGAGCAGGGTCCTGGGTAGGGCAAGAGAGTGTCAGACACTTTCTGACTAAAAACCATCTAGTTCCGTCTCCTGCTCTAAACCGGGTCGCGGTACACATCGGCCCCAGTGGGCCTATTCTGTTTTGCTCTAATGGCTATCTGAGCGCGCTTGGGTCTGATTCTGGTTGGGTGGCGAACCTTGCCGTTGCTTGTCCACAGGCACGTACTAACGGTGGCCGGAGATCGTCTCGCGATCACCGACATTAGGACGATCCTTACATACAGATGACGCCGCAGAGACGCCCTTGAGGGCATTAGGTAGGTAGGTACATACTCTCTAGTCTGAACCTCACACAGGAGTCTACAGAGCCACCGATCCCCGAATACAACCTAAGACAGAAGACGTAGGTAGCTTATTATAGACTTGGAAACGCGTTTCTATAATTACGTACCTGTAATGATATCTACATGTAAGTATCATAAGTACCTTATACAGAGGTACGCAAACAAAATTCGATTGTTATCCACTCTATGAAATTTGTTTTGCGGGCTTATCAATATCATCTAGCGGACTATAACAAAACATATAAGAATGTCTGATAAGAACAAGAGTAAGTAGTCCGTAGGTATTTGACTATGATTTTAGGTCAAGGTGATTGTGATTCCCACACAATTTTTACTAGTTAATAATATATCCCTTTCCTATCAAGTTCTATCTTAAATTCTAAGGAGATTAAGATACCTACGCCTACGAAAAGTTTGATACATATTCAAACTTTGCACTTGTGCTTGTGTGCAAATGACTTCTCACGCCCAGGGTGAGGCGAGCGGAAATGTCAGACTCTTGTGAACTTTTGGCTCTTTGAGGCGCGCGTGGAACACTACGCGCCATACGCTCGGGTTTGGTCCTGGTCGGGCGGCGAGCTCTCGCATTTCTCTATCCCGACGCCCGGAGTGTCGACTACTGCTGGAGCGTGAGAAGAAGAATATCTCCTTCACGCGACCTGTCTCCTTCTTTGCGAGCATAACTGCTTCACAGAAAGAGGAGACGGCTTCCTAGTTCCTCTCGCTTAGGTAGGTAGGTGGTATACCTACCTATGTACCTAATATTTTTTCATAAGACCAGTGCAATTATATTAACCATCTTGCACCATTCTGCCCTGCCCTATTAGTGTATGTGGTATATGCTGTAGGTCCTTTTTTTATCTCTCTCGCCCCGGGTGAAGCGAGAGGGCGTGTCAAACTCTTACTGACTAAAACGCCCCCGTCCTGCTTTTGCTAGGCCGAGGCCATGGTACCTTAATGCGCTAACCCCGCATCCCCGGCTGATGTTGTGGTTCCTGGATCCTGACTCCTGTAGAGTTGCACTGGTTCTATTTTTAGTAAGTACGTAGTGGACTTGACAAAAAAAGTTCCTACTATAATGATCTTTAATTACCACCCCATTTAGGAAATTTACTCCACGTTTAGGTACCATGATAAAGTAACATACCTAAGTAGATTTTTTGGGATGGGAAAATTATCAAATGACTTCTCCCGCCCAGGGTCGAGCGGGAGTGAGTGCTAGACTCTTACTGAGTAAAGATCCTCAGTTCCTTCTCCTGCTCTGGGCCGAGGCCACGGCGCCTCATTGCGCTTGCCACCGCAACCCCGGCTGAAGTTAAATAGGTGGACTGCGAAATAACGATATTCAATGAAGAAAAATAAAACCACTCAGTAGTAAATTAATAATTTTATTTTGTATTTGTTAAATATTTACATAGCCTATTTAATGCTCTATTTTTAATAAAATATGAAACTTAACCAACATTCGCTTGATCACATACTTTTGTTTAAATAACTCCTATTATAATATAATATTTAGTTAGCGTTACGTTCCTTCACAAGTGTTTAACAGCAATAGACTTAGCAACGTAAAGATACTCGACGTAAAACGTAACAATAGTTAACACATCTAAGGCCTTTGTTTACTCTCAGGTTCTCTAGTGATCAAATAAAAAAAAACACGATTTTATAATAAGTAAAATTGTAATAATAATCTCTTCAACATGAAACCATTGCATTCATTTCCAGTCGCTCGTTGTTTTGTTTACAAACGAATAAAAATGTAAGCAATGGTTAATTTTTACGTAATTTACGCTTTGCGATGAAGAGGAATATGTTTCTTTTATAATGTACCATTTTTCTCCAAAGCAGAATATTTATCTACAGTACATTATGGATTAACGCCATCTAGTGGTTCATTGCAAAACAATTTCTATATTCCTATCCACCGCAATTTTTATCATGCTACCCTACATCTTAACACACCATCACGATACATCACACAGCTCTACATTGCTTTATAATCATTGATTAATATTGAATGCTAACATACTGCAGAAAGATCACTTACAATTATTAACTGTATATTAAAAAATTGCAATAATGCACTCATACAAACAACACGCAAACGATTCACACACTTTTTACTTCCTAACCCCGCAAATCAGTCGTTTCCTAAGGTCAGTTGCGGAATGCGGTAGAATGTATTAATAGATAGATAGATAGACCTTTGCATCACGATACTGACAAGCGCGTCTCATCATTGATAATTTTGAATAACAACTTTATTGCTTAGGTAATAAGATGCAGTTAGCATAACATAGACGTGGTCGACTGAACATGAAACATTGAAACTAGCAACATGGGCAGTTACATTTGAAAAATTCAACCAACCTAATTTAGAGGGATCTTACATTTATATTATAGCAAATATCTTGATCGTTTACGCTTAATATGTTGAATAACATTTCTCTCAGACAAAGAGCTTAAATCTATCGGTACTAATAAATATTTAAAAATTGTTTCGAACAGGTGGCACAATAGTTACTGACAAAATAATTTTAGATTTAATTCTCTGTACACTTTGGCTAAGAAAGAAAAAAAATCGTTCCACGAAACGCCTTTGCCGTTAACAGTTAAACTACGTGATCGATAAATATAAAATATACAAATATTATATTTTCACCTATTTCTATAATAACAACAGCATTTTATAACAATATAGAAATTTTATATGAGGTAATTGGCAAAATCTCTACTCGATTACAATCCGTACGGCCTACTTCATTCACAATAATCTACTTCGTTTCGTGGAACGAGTAACCTGTTAGAAAATGTTAGAAGTTTATTACAAAAATATTTTAAAAGTTTAGATGCAACATTATTCAAGGCTACGTCCATTTCGGTGATCCCTATGGCACGTCGAGGCGTGTCTCAATGCCGCTACATGCGAGTGGCAGTGTTTTACATTTAAACATTGGCAACACTACCATGGCAGTACCGCCAACTTTTAACAGACACGTGACATACCTACCTATATGACACGATTTTTTTGTGGAGGCTATTCGCACATTGTGTATTTTCCTCATTATTTTATGGTTATTGCACATCACTTACTTTAAATCATGCATTATTTGAAATAAGTTTTTGAAGATTTAGAATGTTTTTTTTTTTTTGTATAATTTGAGGAAAATACAGTGCGTCAACTTACCGCCTCCACAACAAAAACTTGCCATGTAACGTGCCGGGTATTATACACTAACATTCCATTGTCGACAACTGTCGAGCTCGTAAAGGAACTTTTAAGAAAGTTCGGTTAATAAGTTGGCGGTAAGCCATCGGAACCACAAATTCACACGATAAATTCTACACTGAAATCTCACGAAGTGTCCCGAGACAGTGCGTTTGTACTAATAGGGGTTCTGAGAGACCTTTCTAATAATAAGGCCTTTTGTCGACCACATAGCGATATGTAAAGCAGCAATTAATTTTCAATAGGCCGATGTGCTGCATAGCGTTGCTATTAAAGAGCCAATCAAAATATGGTTAGCAACAGCACAACTCAATAGTACAAACTCACTTTCTCATTTGGCGTTTTATCAAAATCTACAATACCGTAGTGCGAGACGAGTGAATGTTTTCGCAAAAATCTTTAACAGCGTACGTATTTACATTACTCTAACATTATGTACCATTATTAAGCCTATATTAAAATCTATGTATGTAAAAAATTAAAATCTCAATATGCAAAAATTATCAAGCACCTTTGTGTAAAAATTAATTGTTAAATATCTAAATTTAGAGAAAGGGTTTTGTTATATTTTAATTTTCCTAAATGATACCAAATCTACGCAGTATGAGACAACTCTTTTCTATATTAAAAAATAACATTTTCCTCACTACTCACTAAACGAATACCCTGTCGCTTGAACAGTGAAGTTTCAGAGAATGGGGGCCGTGGGAAGAATACGTAGTGACAACAACTAAGGCAAACAAGGAGACCAGCAGACCAGCTAGATGCAAGCCTACTCTGCAAGTGGAAGTGTCTCATTAACGGAAAAGGCAGGTAGGCAGGTAACAGGGAATTGGCTAGTATTCGCCTCTTTCTAAAAGATCAACATAGAGTGCAAATTCCAACAGCTTTTCTTCATTCAAAGTTCACCCACAAATCACTCATGAGCATAGTCAGCATCAAGATAATTAAGTAGGAAGGTATACATTAATAAAATGACAGTTTCGTCTATTACTTTTACATAAAAATATAATATAGGTACAAAAATTAGCACACATGTAACGTTCACAACTAAATACATAGACAAAATATAAAAAGTCTAAGTACCTTTATAGTTGGTTTAGATATAACGGGGTTGCAAGAGTTAAAATACAGACGTAATAAGAACATCTAACAATCGATAATATGTCTTATATATCAATTATTACAATTAAATAATATAAAATGCACCGCTAATACTAGATTACAAGATAATATATTCTCAACAATTTCAACTTTTTTTGATCTTTTTATTCACTGTCTGATTTATTTTAGAGTTCAATTTATGATGGTTCTTTGGTTAATTAGGTACGTAATGTACAATTTACAATAGAAATAGTGTATTTATTAAAGTTTCTTTAGTATTGGCGTATTCTAACATCTTAATCTTATGATCATTCGATATTCTGGACCCAACAGTTATTTGATATGTCACTGATAGGAATCTGTAATTTTTACATTACTCATTAGGTATACATTTTATCCTTTGCCAAAACCTTTTGATACAATGGTTAATTTCATTGAAATCGTCAATTTGAAAATATATTTTTGAAACGAGATTCGTTCGTATAAACTTTGTTAGATCAGACAATGAATAAACAGTCCACAAAAATACTATAACAGCGGCCTAAAAACGAGTTACCGTTTTTCAAAATCGAACGGTCACTCGGATTCAAATTGCAGTGTTGCCAGCATATCTTTGTGAAATCCTACTAATCGATTATAAAAAATTTAAGCAAAATTTTAATTTTGCGCCGATTTTTCATTTAATATTACTATAAATGTACCTACCGGCGCAGTATTTATTAGGTAAAAACGACTTCTAAGTAGTCCTAAGACAAACTTTTAAGTTACTTGTGTTACTAGCAATATTCATAGTTCTTTATTACGTATAATTATTGCTTGGAACTCAGTGGTCCAGCGAGAAGCGTGTGACAGTCAAAATCCTTTGTCGTATTGACACAGAGAGATGTTGGCAACTGGCCCGGAACATGTAACAACGATCTGAACGTATAGCTAAAGATGTGAATGCTGTGTCTTACGTATTGTTCGTGTCCGGTTGGAAGTAATGGAGACCGTTTATCTGGAACAAATATTTAGAAGACAAAATTAGCAAGGATATATTAAGTAAAAAATGAAGTTGCCACTCCCAAGAGTGTACTTAAGGAATTTAATAGAGTTCCAGCAGTGACATGCTCTCTCTGCAAACGATGATCACTCAGACGATCTCCAACTTTATGGCAAGCTTTTAGGTATGTAGAGGAGGCCTTGTTCTGTTATGGAATGGCAAACACTAGTGATGATGAAGTTTCTTTTTTTCTCAAAAGAATCAAACAAAATCGGTACTACAAGTAGACTTTTCCAGATAAACTTTTTTTTACACATCCAGATGGCGAAGTCTATTGTCATATTCTCTTGCTTCGAACTGGGGCCGGAGCCGATACTTTATTGTGCAAACTCGGCAGAAAGGCCAGAGCGTAACATCAGGTGACCATCTGCTATTTTGCGTTGCTGTTTCCATAAAAAAGATCATCAAGAACAGTTAATTTAGTGGCAAGTTATAGAATAAAAATAAAGTTATAGAATTAAATAGCTAACTTACCGTCATATCGTATTCTGTGACGAACGCTGGTACATCAAGCTGGTCTCTTGCCATAACTGAATACAAGTACTCCACTCCGGGAAGATTGTGTACTTTCGCCTTGATCGCTGGCGCCATGAAGGTCGTGAACCACCACGTCATCATCTGAGAACATTTTGTTACTTACTAAACCAAAGCCTACACTATCTTTTTCATAGGATATTCTCCTAATTAACGCCAAGGCAGAGAAAAGTTTTAAGTCTCCTAAAGACTATTTCGTTGATATGTTTCATTGCTAGATATCAAAGTAGGAAATAAAGTGAGCAGTATATTCACCTTGGTCCAGAATGTTGGATGTACAATGTAGAATGCTTTGAGGTTCTTCTTATACCTGGAAAGCGGAAAAAAACATAAGTTAATAGGCACAGCAAGTTAGCACATAAAAACAAATATCTTTCTTTTACGAAAAGTAGAAAGGATTAGATATAATATGTACTACCAGCCAGTTATAAACGATTAGGGGTGTTAAGGGTAGATATTTCCAAACGCCAATAACAGTTTCAGAATCTGAGAAATATTGAGCATTTAAATAAGGAGAATAAGCTCCAATAGTCTCTGGGGTTCTAGTGATTCTGTGATTCTCTGGGATTCTTGTGGGAGTATAAAACAGTAGTATATCCAACCCAAGCATCCCAGAGAATCAAATCTTCTTGTTCTATAGTCGCGCCTATTTGACCAACAAGTTTAGTCAGTCAAGATTCACTCCGTAAGTAGGACCAGTGAACACTATTACAGGTTATAAAATTGTACAAGAACGAATTTAAAAAAGCTGACGATCGGGAATGCATTGCTATTTAAAAAAGAGGAATACATACTTGTAAGGCAGCACGGTGTACACTTCTTTGAGCCAGGAGAACGGAGGATGGTTGGCGGAGGAGGCGAGTGTGTGGAAGTAGGCGATCACGTAGTCCCCACGCACTATGGGATCCAGCAGCTTGATCAGGTATAGGAGAGCCTGGAACATGAACATAACAATAGTTAAGAGAAAGCTAAGCTAAGAATTCACCCAGCATATCTGCAGAAAGTTAGAGTTGTATTTCTGTTCTTGCTTCATATTACTCTACTAGTTTTACCAAAAGCAGCCACTGCATCTGCATCAACGCTTGTTTTAAGCCCATTATCTATGTACCTTCTCTAAAGACATCATCGTTTTAAGCCCTTTGTATCTTTTCGAAGTGCTATTATTTCTTCATCATCATCAGCCTTCAAGTATGCCTACTGCTGAACAAAGGCCTTTTCTCACACGGAGAAGGTTTGAGCATTCATCACTGAGCTTGCTCAAGGTGGATTGGAGATTTCAAACTTATTATTACAAATAGGTCTAGGTTTCCTCAAGATGATTTCCTTCACCGTATGAAAGTGGTGTCTAAATAATCCATAAAAACTACATACAACTCGGAACTGATATTGGTACTTGTCAGGTTTCGAACCTGCACCGTCATGCATTAGAAGTATCTTAACCTCCAGGCCACCACGACATTCTTTTCACATACGGAGATGGAATGAGCACTAATCACCATGCTGGATCAAAGCGGATTGGAAACTTATAATTAGAAATGATCCATCTAACGTTACTGATCAAATGCCCACCTTGTCCAAGTCAATATCACCAATAGGGAACCACTTCCCGATGAAGACGACCACGGGTCTACCGAGTCTGTCCACTCCGCTCTGGTACAGGCAGCCTATGCCTGAGATCTCGCTGAGATCCTCTGTGCGAGCGCGACGGAGAAGCCGCTCATATCTGAGGAAGAAAGAGAAAGGATCATTTAGTATGATATTGGAAAAAGTATTATGTAGGTAGATGAAAAATTTTGAGATTATGAAATACACATTAGTTTACTTTGTAGAGAAATGGCAAAGACTTTTTGACAGGTTTTGATAGATCATCGAGGTAAAATTTAAAACATTTTTGGTGCAGTTTTAATCTGAAAATGTGTGATATGGAAACTAACAACACTAGGATAAATTCTAAAGAAAACGAAGCTGGAAAATAACTCCTCCACAATATTTATTCACGTGTCTGTTTGATTTGAATCACACAATCAAAGAAAATCATTGGGAAAAGTTCAAAATACTCATATTCCTTTTATCACGTATCGCATCGAATCGCTTTCAATACAAAAATAATAAACAGATCCATTCTACCGAAGTATTTATTTTTATTTAATGCTTGCGTTTCGCCCTTGGCCTAAAATGCTCCTGTGAAACGACCAGTGATGACTGAGCTACGTTAGCGAAACTTTTTCATGGTGTTATGGGCCTTCATATAATGGTGGTATGAGCAAACAGGTCTATTTTGAGTTACTCTATCCGTCAATAACGGAATTAGAACGTAGAACTAATATATGAAAGGATGTGTTGGTGCTTTTGCGCATTGCTTTATGAAATTCATATTGTTTTGTTTTAAATTTTTGACGAATCTTTGGAATATGAACTTTAGTATTTTCAGTTAAGGTATAAAATAAATTATTCAATTGTTTTTTAACCTACTGTATCGGTAAAATATTTCATTGGATTTTCAACTGTAAATAAACGAGACGATTAAGTTGAAAATGGAATTATGGGGTTTCACGGAAAGGAGGTTTATCTACGTTTCATCTTTCATTACAAATGCATCATAATAATGTCTATTCAGAATTGTTAATCGTTATTTCGCGCATTAAATCTTGATTCGCGTGTTTACAGTACCTAACTTCTATGTTAATATTCGGCTACATAAAATAGGAACAATACTTCGTTTAAATACCGTTAATTGGTAGGTAATTTGTTGCATAATTGTTTTGTTTTCTTCCATAATGGATGCTTAAAATATGCAAGCAACATTGCATAATGTTCCACTTTCTTGAAACCGCTTTAAAAGAGATAAAAAATATAAACGAATCATGTAGCTCAGCTTGTAAAGAAACCCGCTTAATAAACCACAATAAAACAATCAAAATAGTACTTTAAAAAAACAAAGATAAAGTTAATATTCGTGTACGAAATTGACGTCTTAAAATGTGACGTTAAAATATGGCTGCCTCTAAGTTAATATTTGTTTTACAATTAAAATATTTCAATTGTAAATACGTACGTTCTTGGAACCGCATTGCGGGTAATTTATTTAGGATTAACCTTGTATGTATTCTAAATAACAAGTGACGATCTTAAGGAACTTTATTATGCGACATTGATATAAGAATTAATGATAATAATTTCTAGTCATCGTGGAATTAAACTTTGTATTTTTTTTTGTAGGATGGTAAAATACTGAATGCACAGTGACTGATCTGACTGAATGCAATGCTGGGCAATCAGCTGCCGTGCAACGTATCGCGGGTACGATTCACGCACGGAACAACACTTTGTGTGATCCACAATTTTTTTTTGGTTCTGCGTGTCATGTGTATGCGAAATTGAGTGTTTGTAACCGCATCCCCGACACAGGAGACAATCATAGTTTTAAAAACCGTTGTCCCCACAAAGGTTTTTATAAAAAAATTAAAAAAACAGCCGACCGATTTCCTGATGGTAAGCTATCACCACCGCTTATGAAGACTTTGGATCTTAATCAGTATTAGCCCTTGAGTCCAATCAACAAAGGACACAATGTTATGTTAAAAAAGAAATTTCCGAACAAGTGCAAAAACCCTTCTATTTCAGTAACAAAACATTTCACGAAGAAAAGTGGCAAACATTTTTCATAAGGCCACGATCAATGAAAACCTTTTCTTAGAAAGTACCACAACAAAAAAAAAAACATGATTAATCGACATTCTTAGTTCTATTAATAACAGTTCTATTTTTAAATCGACCTTAGTATTTGTTGTAATCAATGAGTCATGTACCTATGTAATGTACTATGCTTTGTTTGAACGCATGGTGCCTCGTTTGAGCGAGTTTTATTTATGTTGAGTTGTTCCATTTCCGTACACGTGGGGTGGTAGAAGAAAGGTAATGTGTGACGTCAATCATTCATTGAAAATGTGTCTATGATTTTGTAATATAAATGTTTTTTTTTATAAGATACTAGCTACTCTCGCGCGGTTTCACCCGCTGCTCGGCTCCATTTGATCGTAGCGTGATGTTTTATAGCCTATAGCACTCAAGAACATTGCAGCTATCTATCAGTGAAAGAATTTTGGCAATCTGACCAACTACAATTTTTACCTCTTTATAATATTAGTATAGATGTCGGCAAACGAGCATACGGATTACCTGATGTTAAGCAATCAGGGCAACTAAGGAGTTACGAGTGCGTTGCCGGCCTTTTTTGGATAAGGGTATCGGATATTTAAGGATTCGGATAAGGGAAGGCGGATTGGGCTTCCGGTAACCTCACTCATACAGCGAAACACAACGTTGTGGTTATTTCACGCCGGCTTTTTGTGACGTGATAGCAATCTGGTCGAGCCGACACATTCGTGCTGAAGCTTGGCTTGTACGGGCTGCCTTAATGCCTTAGGCATTGTCTAACAGTCGACTTTTATTTGACAGAGAGATGACGTAAGTAAACAATTATAATAGTACATTATTATATTATTTACTTTTAAATGTTGAGTCTTATATAGCATTTAACAGATGCGAAAATTTAATTAAACTCTGATTTTCCTGCAGGTGTTCAATGAGCATAAATACTAACCGCGGTAAAATAACTGATTAATTTCAAAATATCTGGATTGATTTATGTTTTGGACTGAAACTGCATACATACAACTAAGGTATTTTCATTGAGATCGCTTTAAAATCGGCCGTAAAAGGGACGGTATATTTGGCAGACACCGGATAGCAGCACAGATAGCATACTATATTATTATGTAGACTAGTAATAAAGTAAAACGAATAGTATAAATTGTATTTAGCTAAAAAAAACGCAGTTCTACAATAACGCTCACTTAAAAATCTCGATCAGAATAAGTTGCAAATCCATCTACTAACTTGATAAAAAAAATTTATTAAGTTGCAGCTTTATTATTTTACGCTTAGCATCGATTCGAATAATCGGTGTACAATTTGCCTAAGGGCTGCTTTTTCAATGGTTACATGATAGTTATCTGGGGAATAATTATGATACTGTCGCGTCAGAATGCTTGTATAAGACAGTGACAGCAACAATTTTATTCATCAGATAACATTTATCTGACTATTGAAAAATCAGCCCTTTAACAATCAGTATAATATTACTGTGCCGATTTATTTAGGTAAATAAATCATTATTTAAAATAAGGAGATTATATTCAAAAACAATCGTCTCAATAAAACTTGCAAAACATATTTATTTATTTACCTTTTTTTAGAACGATATTTAAAATTATAAATAACACGTGCGTTGAGATTTTATTTATGTCCGCTCAAAGTTTACAGTGTTAAAAATAAATTTCTTGCAGTTAAATCAAAAATAAATTTAGGGAAATTGACGTCAATAAGATTCTAAATGCGTTGCGAAAAGGATAAATAATTTTGATACGCAAAAATAACTTAAAGAAAATCGTGTAAATATATAAATGGAAACCAAAGAGTATGTAAAATTAATTTTAAGGACTTACACTTCTGCAAGGCCACTAAGGTCTGAATTTTCAATGGTTAGATAAAAGTTATCTGGGGAATAATTATGATGCTGTCGCGTCAGAATGTTTGTATAAGATAGTGACAGCAACAATTTTATTCCTCGGATAACATTTATCTGACTAATGCAAAATTAGCCTTAAGTACCATACAATTTGAATTTAGAATGCAATGTGTATAAATTATGTGTCATAATATAGACTTCTATTGGGTACTTATACAAAGGGAGCGAACAAATATTCTATAAATAAAGAAATTTGATAAAGATACGTTCCTGTCGATTGCTGAAGATTCTTTAATCTTTAAAAGAAAACACCAATCGGACTGAGCGGAGAATCCAATGGACAGAAAGACGTTCAGCCGAGGTTGCGGGGTAAGCGCAATGAGGCACCGTAGCCTCGGCCTAGAGCAGGAGAAGTAACAGGGGAGTTTTTAGTCAGTAAGAGTCTGACATTCCCTCCCATCCTACCCTGGGCGGGTCAAGTAACATTATGATTTGCCCGTCACAAGAAAAAAAGGACAGAAAGACTGTTACATCGCTTTGAAAACCTAGGAAAATCAACACTACCACCTACGAAATAAAGACGTTTAATGTGAAATAGTTGTGTACCATATCCTGGTAGACCACGCCTTCCCATTGAAAGACCATCACATCAAATGACTGAACGAAAGAACTTAAAGATAAAACAGTAATATTCTAGTTACGTTTTATGGTTAGAATTCTGTTTAAGATCATTTTATGTGCATTTCACGGCCAGTTGGCGTTGACCTATATTTTTTATGACGGAAAACGACCATACGGATCCCTAGACTGAAGGCAACCGGCGCTACTTACACCTGCAACACCAGATGTATCAAGCATTTTTTTCAACAACAAATGTAATGCTATTTGACTTAAAAACATTATGACATCATTTTAGTCATCAGAATACGACTGCACGATTGGCGTAGTGTCTGAGCAACTGGCTGCTGTGCAACGTGTCGCGGGTTCGATTCCCGCACGGAACAACATTTTGTGTGATTAACAAATTGTTGTTTCGAGTCTGGGTGTGTTGTGTATGTTAATTTGTATGTTTGTAAACGCACCCACGTCACAGGAGAAAACCATAGTGTGGGGTAACGTATTTTCTTTTTTTTAATTGTTTTTGGCATTTGTTTTTTAATAAACGCCGTGTCGCGGTTTAGATATCTCGTCGG